CTCTCAGGATTGCTGGGCAGACACACTGTTGAGTATTAGTTTCTTTTGAGTCACTAATAGAAAAAATGCCAAGTTACAGTTAAAGAAAAAAAAATGTTTATTTAGACCATCCACCAGGATCATAATAAATAATGTAATATACTAATGTAATAACAGATGTTCTCATGCATTTATCACATAAATATACAAGAAAGCTGGCTTACAGGGCTGCTGGGACAAATTTGGAAAAGTGTATTTGGCAATACAGTAAGTTAACAGTGTTAAGACTATCAACAGATTCTCTTACCTATCATTTTTTTTGAAATACATCCTCTAAATATCAGTGAATAAATGGTAGTTTCTACTTTTTATAAACATGCCAGAGCTAAGCCAATTGGCAAAGAATCCAGGTTGATAATTTATCAGTATTCCTAATGGAAACCAGATTGTAGAGAAGAAACAACAAAGATTTAACTCTTGTGCATTTCAATGTGGAGGCTGATAGACTGCAAGCCAGAATCACTGAAACCATAAAATGTCTGAATGAAATAAAAACCCAAAGTAGTTTATAAATAGTAACTTTGATACTCAATATACAAATGCTGTATAGTATTAGGATGTTTACACTTCAATAAATGATCAATTATCTGACTGTAAAAGTGATGAACCCTGATTAAAGCTAGTAAATTTGCTAGTAAATTTCACATAAAGAGTTAAAATAGGATAACCTTTAACATAAAGCTTTAAAACAAATAATTTAAACATATCTTAAACACCGAAAATGTGTTTTTAATTGTTATTTACAGTTAATCAGTGATACCAGTGTATAGCTTAATGTAGCCGACTGCCAGTCTTGCATCCCTTTCAACATCTGCTATTACAATATTCCTTATAAATAGGCAAATTAGTTTAGTGAAGGAGAGCGATCTGTGGTCCACAGTAATTCAATGTATGGCCATTTGGTTTGGAGACAGCGTTTAATAGGAGTGTCATCTGTTTGTAGCATGGGATCTTCAAAACCCATAACAACTGCGGTCCCTTCAACATACATTACCTGTTGAACAAAGCAAGCCACAAAGGTCAACCAATATTCTTAGCCAATTCTTATGAAGGATATAAAACTTTGCATAGGCTAGCAAACAAGGCGTTGCATATTGTTTCATATGGAACTGTATATTTAATTTTATTTTGATAGATAAGAGCAAGAATATTTGCTTACTAGTTAATGTGAAAATATATTTGGAAACAAAATGATGATACACATTTTAACTGATAGCTTGGCAGTTGATTTTTATTTTTTTTTTTAAAGATTTTATTTTTTTGACAGAGACATAGCGAGAGCAGGAACACAAGCAGGGGGAGTGGGAGAGGGAGAAGCAGGCTTCCCGCAGAGCAGGGAGCCCGATGTGGGACTCGATCCCAGGACCCTGGGATCATGACCTGAGCCGAAGGCAGACGCTTAACGACTGAGCCACCCAGGCGCCCTTTGGCAGTTGATTTTTAGCTTAAGATCATGATTTAAAAAATGTGAATCCCAGGCACCTGGGTGGCTCAGTCGGTTAAGCGACTGCCTTCGGCTCAGGTCATGATCCCAGGGTCCTGGGATCGAGTCCCACATCGGGCTCCCTGCTCTGCAGGGAGCCTGCTTCTCCCTCTCCCCCTGCTTGTGTTCCCTCTCTCGCTGTGTCTCTCTCTGTCAAATAAATAAATAAAATCTTTATCACAAAAAACCTGCATGTATTTTAGGATTCACTTTTTTTTAAAGGAAAAAATCATCCTTTAATTAACATATACCATTTGGAAGAAATGTTTATTTATATAACATATACTTCTTCCTGCTTTAACATGGAGGCACTGGAATGGAAATGCTGTCTCATGAGATGAGAAACTGTAATAGAAATAGAGCTATATATTCAGAGGAGGACTTCACTTTCTTTCAATTTAAAAGTGTTAAATTTCCAGAGCTGGAGGCAAATTTGCTATTGTAATTATGAAATGCTATTCATGAGTGTACTCCGTACTGCATGAAAAATCACGGAGAAAAGAAGGGTGTTGGGACAGAAACAAAAAAAATTGGCAGAAAACTAGCCAGGTAGCTTATATGCAGTGGCGATGATCATATAAAATATACATGGGCAGATGGATATTGGAAACACGTTTTATTCTGATTTAATTGCAATAAACTTTCAGACCTATGAAATAATATACTAATACCCCACCCCGTTATAAGGGCTCACTGTGTACATTAAATGAGTCAGTCATTAATCTCTTTTTGTAGGAAGAGAAATTCCAAATGTAAAATTTAAAAGGAACAGATACAGACTGCCTTCTTCCAAAGTACATGTATGTTTATATATTCAGTGTTTGGTACACATGATAGTAATTATGTTCTTCCAATATAAAAGCTATAAGCTTTCTTAGTTTTAACTGGGAGTTTCCATAAAAACACATTTGCATCTTTATTTGCATTAATATATTACTTTCTAGTTGTGATGAAATAAATTTAATACAATGAGACTACAACTCACATTTTTAACTCCCCACAGTACAACTTCCATTTCTGAAAAATTGTCCACAAAGAATTTAACTCAAGTTATTACAATTATCAGATAAAACAGGACCTATTTCATGGGCAAAACTTGATTTAGTAATATCTATACAGCCAAGAGTAACAAAATGTAGTTATTTTGTCACAGTGAAACTATTGTTCCAAAACTCCAGTGAGGATCTCAATGACTAACATATACTGATCAGATCAAAATATAACCAGTTTTAAAATACGCTGTAACAGTAAAGAGAGTAGAGACTCTTAGAAAGTTTTATGGGAATCAAACCTTGTGATATACTCAAGGTGAAGACAAATTACTCTGAATGACCATACCTTCTCATTATAATTTGACTGCTTCAATCCATTGTAGTGATAGACAGTAAAAGACTCTGGACCACTGGAGCCCTATTATAAATAAAATACTATTAAAACTTTAAAGTATACTTTTATATTAGGCAATTTCTAATTAGCAGTTGAAAGGAAAATTTTGGTTGGAAAATCATTTGCTGAAACAAGAAACTTAAGACTTTATCTACTAGAAAACAAAAACTGAAATAGTTGCTTCTGGGGAAGACGCAGGAAAGTGGGGAAGTATTGATTTTTATCATAAGCTCTTCTGTACTGGTTTATTTTTTTTTAAAGGACAGGGTTCTAAAGCACAAAAATATTTCCTAAAATCTTACCTCTCTTTTACTGGTTGTAAATAATTTGTTCCTCTCAATAAATACGTAAGAGCAGTAATGTCACTTTTCGTTAGCCTGCAAACATCTCTGTACCAATATTTTCCATTCGGCTTACCATACTGAATTAGGGGTTTCCATCCACCCTCCCCCATCTAAATATTGTCAACTTTGAAATAGTGAGAAGAGCCTTGTGGGAAATGAAAACACAAATTATAGTGCTGAGAGCCTTTAATAATATCCAATAAAGAAGTGAAATCCTATAAATTCCTATTTTACTAAACTTGCAGGAAATCTGATCATGTTATCCCTACTGCCTTAACCTTCTGGTCTCAGCTAAAGATCAAGTTCAATTCTCCTAACCTGGTATTCAAGGCCATTAATGGTCTGGCCCCACCTGAGGTACCTGGCTCCAGTTATTTCCCTCAAGGCCTAGGGCCTTGTGTTCCTTGCCTTATCTGATTGATGTACGGATGCACATGGGACAAAAACTGGTCCTGGTCCGTATTAGAATTTGTTCCATTTCTGGAACTAAGAGAAGAGAGCTGCTGGCAACAGTGGCTTCAATGTTCTAGAGAAAGGAGGGGAGTGGGACAGACGGCCCCAGTCCTCCCTCCTTCCGTTCCTGAATGCCTGTAAGCTACTCCTCACAATTCTTACCTTTTCCTCCCACTGCAGTCAATTCAGACTGTGATTTGCAACCAAGAATCCTAAAATACAGGACCTAATCTACCTTTTCTGCCATTTCTCCATCTACTCGGTTGTCTGAATTTTCTGTTTCAGACAAACGTATTAAGTCATTTTCCCATGAAAAGACTTTTTGTTGTTGGCTCTTTGTACATTCATTTTTTTTTTTTTTTTTTTAAACTTCTTGAAAGTTGAGAAGAGATCTAATAAAGCAGCGTGCTTGGGTGGCTCAGTTAGGTAAGCTCAGGTCGGCTTCGGCTCAGGTCATGGTCCCAGGGTCCTGGGATGGAGCGCCACATCGGGCTCCCTGCTCAGCGGGGAGCCTGCTTCTCCCTCGGTCTCTCCCCCACCATGCTCTCTCTCTCTCAAATAAATAAAATCTTAAAAAAAGAGATCTAATAAATCTAAGCTTATAATTCTTTGTATCCTACTCAAAATGCTTTACAAAAAATAGAAAAATCAATAATGTGATCATTTTCTTAATTGTATACATGAGTTGATGTAGAATTAGTCTCTTAGATAATTTGGCTGTTTATTTTCAGAGTACTTAGAAAGTAAACATGATACACAATTTATATTCTTTAGTTCCACTCATTAACAATTGGCAGAAAATGCTAAAATATCAACAGAAAGTAACTGTAACACAGTGGCCAGTACCTACCCTGGACTGCTGAATTAGCCACTGTCTAGCTGTATGACTTCAAGCTATTTTCTTACATTCTCTAATCCTCAATTTCCTCACTGACAAAATGGAGGGACTATAGTACCTAAATTATAAGGCACACAGTACCCCGGGCACAGTTATGAGCTTTAAAAAAATGGTAGTTGCTTCTGCTATTCTTATTATAAACAAATTGCCTTGAAATGCTTCTCTGTATTCCTCTGCAGCCCCCCTAACCTCCCTCTCCAATTTGCCTTTCCTCCAGGCAAAGAAATTGCTCTTCCCTAGCACCTACTTTAAGCATTTGTGGATTACTCAAGTTAGGTATTTTCCTGGCTGCCCTTCTGACCCCAGTTTTGCAACTTTACTTGATTAAATGTTTACTGAGTTTCACAAAATTGGTCTGTTAGGTACAAAGGAGTATAAAGATGACCTCAGTGGTGTGGGTGGTGGTCAGAAGAGATGCGCCACAGAAAGTTCAGAAGAGTGAGAGTAGGTGGGAGTGTGACCAGTCTTCCTCAGAAGCAGCAGGTCTCAAACTCTGGCACCTGGAGAAGGGACCTGAGGACTTGCATTTCTAATAAGCTTTTGGAGATTACACTTTGAAAGAACCAGGGGATTTAAATTACCTCAAGGAATACTACAATTAAAAATTTGATTTCTTGAACTACTAAGTTCTTAGAATATTTACAAATACTACTATGTAATAAATCACATCTGAAAAGAGTTGGTAACTATCCCACTTTGTTTATATTTCCCAAGCACTTTTCAAAATCTGCGCACAAATTTAGGGCAATAGTTTTTAATTTAATGCTATAAAGTTAATGCTATCATTTACTGAACATTAAGATATCTAAAACAGAGAGGATACCACAATCCAGTAGTCATTTTAATAATGTCAGAAAAGAGTATTTTTTTTTTCCATGAAGCATTTACCAAAATTTAAAGAAGTCTTGCTATCCTGTGATATACTGACTTTTTGAATTTCACCTCACTTTCTTTCCTCACATTAACCATAGCAGATCCAGATTCAGAAAATATGGGTTCTCTTTTAATTACCAAGACTGAATGTCAATAATGTCTACTCTGTTAAAGATAATTTAAACCTGAAACATCAAATTAACACTTATATCTTGACATTTTCCCTCCATCATTTTAAGCTTGGCAGTACATGTCCTTTATAAGGGAGGTGAAATAGAAACTGGCATTTCTATTGAAACAATGATCTTTAACATAAACCACAATGGTATCTGATGAAACGATCCCACTATATCTGGCCTAAATTTAGCATCTGGTTTAGCAGTAAAATCCTTCACTGAGATAGGAAACACGAAGAAAAGACAGGCGTAGGCTACAGAATGGGCTTTGTCAATGATGTAGTCATAACTCAGGAGTATTGAGACTAGCTCCTCTCAAGACCCAGTGGAAGACAAGTCCTAATATGAAATAGCACAGCTCCTCTCAAAGGGTCTTCTTTTACTCAACTAAAATGCTCCTGGAACTTAGGCGTTTCCCCAACATATGTACTCCTTTACCTTCTCTATTTATTTAAATGTATTTAAAAAGTTTCCAAAAGATACATACCATCTATGAATAACAGTGACCTGAGAGAAGGAAAATAGGGTGCAGGTGGATAAAGAGGCTCTTTCTCTTTTTACTCCACCTGTTTCTTAATGTGTATATAGTGGTGCATGTATACTCTTCCACTACCCCCTCCCCAGAAATTTTGTATTACTGTTTTGGAACACACATACCCTTCTACCCTCTCTGTATGGAAAAGTACTTACATCATAACTGTGCTTTCTTCGTCTTCTATCTGCATGTTAGACCATTTTACATGAATAGAAAAGAAATGCTGAAACAATCACAAAATGCTCATCCCAGTAGAACAAAACATTAACTATTTCTTCAACTATGTTACCTGATCAGGAAAAAATTCTTGAAGGAATGGACCCAATAATATGATCCCTAATCCTTCTGGATCTAATTTATTCTTCATGAGATTTATACTATGGGGAGGGAAAAAAAGAAAAAAAATCAGTGGATACCAAAGGAGAAAAAGCTTATTTTCCTTCTTTCATAAAGATTAAATAACTAGTACTATAACACATCTGACTGCCAAAAATCTTAAGAGCTGTTCTTTTTAGACCCTTAATGACAAATACACAGGAATGACATCTAATTCGCCAAAACTTGGTTATTTTTAAACCAGAGTGCTCTCTGTTACTATTTAGAATTTAAATGATGATGACGACTTTGGAACATGGTCCCTTATTAGGTAAAGTAATTTAAAAAGCTTGGCTTGTAAAGGCAGGCTTATAACCTCCCACAGGCCATTCTCTTTGCTTCATAGTATGCCTAAATTTAACAATCATATGAGGCATTTAACTTAAAAAAATGTTTAAGCTCAAAGAGAAGAAGAAACAGTATCAAAAGGCACATCAGATAATCAAAAACATCTCCCAAAAGACTTACTTTCAAGAACCAAATGTGAAGGAAGCTTAAAATTTAAGCTTAGACGATGTAACCTGGAGGGTAAAGGTGAAGAGGTAAAGAGAGCTGAGGTGTAGTGAAGGACAGTGAGCGGCATGGACTATAGTATTCCAGAAGCAGTCTCCAGTGAATGGTGCTTTGCTTAGCCCTTGCCATTTAGGTGGAGCCAAGGCTGGTGAAAGGGGTTATGTGTGACTAGGAGGGCAGAGTTGTAAAAATGAAAATGGTCTTTGCAGAAAATTTTCATTTTCCATGTTCTCTCCCCAATCCTACATCCCAGGGTAAATATACCTCGTTCTACAATGCAAAGGATATGACGGTTGAGTGGGTCTGAGTAAAGGCAGCAGGTTAGGACATGAAACAAACGAAGGCAAGGTCATATTTAATGTATTTAATTCATTAATCCTAAGGAGGTGCTGTTCGTTTATAGGCCATCACATATTTTAAATGTGAGTAGACCAAAATACAGAACGAAGAACTCCGTCCAGTCTAACTTAGTATACTAACTTTATAATTCAAGGTATGTTATGTATTCTGATGAAAAAAGGAAAATTAAGTAGATGATAGCTTGAGTTCAATTCTCTTTTGCAAATTACAGTCAATAAACAAGACGGCTTCTACTTGGAAATCCATTCAGAATAAATACATATTTCGTAAAATTGCAAATCATAATTACAATTATACCATTTATTGGACAAGTTCAATCTTCTGAATTGAGTTCCTCTTTAAGTTGGAAACAATTAATAATATCATAGCTCTAGGTAGCAAGAGACAAATTAACTCAGATGTGAGCAATTTGAAAATGTTTGTGTTTCATACTCTCAAAGAAAATACACCAAGCTATTTAAGAACAGTTATATATATCTAGTTCTAAAAACTGCGTATATTAATATGTTTGATGATGCTTTTGCTGAATCTTTTCCTGTGATGTTTTGTAAGCTCTAATTTGTTCATTGTCAGATAACTTTCAGACTGAAAATAAACTGCAGAAGGAGGAAAAGTTAGTATAGATCATAGGTGATCTTTAAATTTTCCTATTTGAGCAAAAGATGTATCCCCTTACTGAGAGATTCTCCTGGATAACAAAAAGCACAAATTTATGAAAGAAGTTATAGATGTATCAATGTACAAAATATAAAAGAATAAAGAGGACATGATATTAACATTTGGCAAGACTGAAAACTATATTCCATAACATACTGGGGTTGCTTACAAAGGTTTAGGTCAGTCAATTTAATGATATAGAATGTCCAGTGTCTTCAATCAAATGTCTTTAAGACCAAGTCAGAAGGTTGCTGGTCCTTTAAGCAGGGCGACTAGCAATACGGACATTATAGGTAATTGTCATTACTTTCAGATATGAACAAAATTTAAAAAAAATGGAAAAGGTTTTGTAGTGAGAAAAAACAATAGAAAAAGAGTTTGTTGAGTCTCTGCTATAAATACGGATTAGTTTGATTTCTTCCTAAATCTTTGCTTTATATAAAGAACTAAGCTGCCGATATGCAGGTTTAGATTTTTAAAAAAGGCCAAAATGTGTGTACTGTTTTAAATGTAATGGAATCCTTTTGAGTCAGTTAAATAATATTTCCTATTTAGCTTACTATTCAGGATCTGAAACAAGGTCCAATGCTTTCATCACATCTTCTAGAAGTGAATCAGGTATAAATCCATTATCTGGGGGAAAAAAAAATAGCATTAGCATCTTGAATAAGAGTTTGCTTCAAGAAATGCTATGAGAAAAATCAAGTGCCTATTATTACTCTCTTCTTTGAGTTTTCTTAGGCACAGAGGCAATGAGTTATTTTTCTAATAAAAAAAACTCCACATGACTTCTACCTGAGAATTCCAAGGAAACTTGAAAGTCAAATTACTCCTTTTTAAAGAGGCTTATAAATTTCAACGATAAAAGTGTTTTTCTATTTAAAGTTTTCATAATTATTTAGTAATTTTGTCTTTGAATAACAATGTGAACCTTTAAATTCCCTTTAAGAAATCCAATTAAAATAAGTCTTTACCAACAAATTCCTTTAGTTACAATGTTGGTTATAATGTCATTCTTTTTGAAAGAATGTTAATGATGTGCTGTTATTTAGATATCTGACAATACAGGACCAAGAGCTATCCCTGTAACAGACTTCATTTAAATAAAAGCCATAGATTTAGTGGGAAAAATTCAAAAGTTGAAATGCAGAACAGAATCAAATGGTTGATGAAGACTAGTTTATGGAAAAAACTCCTTTTCTTGGGCTTGCTGAGGAAATAGCATTGGGAAAGGGCCCAAACTTGGATGATGCAATAGCACATGACACACAAAGAAGGCGTGTAGGGTCATTTGAAATCACTGTTTGAACAAGCAAGTTCATTCCCTTAAATGTGCAATGTCTGAGTTTCTCTACCCATTTACTCATTCCTGGAGACTGTTTCAGCTTTAAATCAACTTTCTACACAATATCCTTTTCAGGAATTAGATAATTTAGAAACAAAGTCTTGTCATGGAGAACAAGATGTACAAAAGACCCGCTTCTATAATCATACTGCAGAATAAAATGTGGTTCTTTCAGGATGTGGCATGGACTCTACCAGAAAGGAAAGAAGTTATGATTTTACAGTCTTAAACCTCTTAAGCAGATGCTTAGCCATTTGAAGAAAAATGGGCCTTGACTAAAAGGCCAAGAATCATTTAGGATTTTTTTTTAAAGATTTTATTCATTTATTTGACAGAGCGCACAAGCAGTGGGAGTGGGAGAGGAAGCAGACTCCCCACTGAGCAGGGAGCCCGATGCAGGACTCAATCCCAGAACCCTGAGATCATGACCTGAGCCGAAGGCAGAAGCTTAACCGACTGAGCCACCTAGGTCCCCCTCATTTAGGATAGCCCCTCATTTAGGATAATTAAACATGTATAATTTTTAAAAGTGAAGGTTTAAATCCAAATTTTCAAGTTACCAGTAATTTGAGGCATAGAGAGTAAGTAAAGAACTTGTCAGAAGGTACATGTGAAAATATTCAAGCTTTGTAAGCTTAAATTTGCTCAGGTTAGAAGGTAGAAAACTCATTTGTTTAGCTAAGTCACAGCTAAAACCTCAGCATTCAAAATGTAAAACAGGCTTTATTTGGCCACTAGTTGACCAGAACAATTCTCCGCATAGGTTTCCTTGTTTTTTGGGCTATCGTGTATATCCACCTGATAAACAGTCTGTATTACAATGTTCCTCAGGAGCCCTGAATGGTGGGAGGTCTTATCTCTTCTTAACATAAATTAGAGACTCAGCTCCCACCCAGATAAGGAGCTAACTAGCACTATAGAGAGGCAAACAACAACTAGGAAAACAACCTTCTTCACTCAAACACGATTAACCTCAAACATAGATATTCCAACATATTTTTAAGATACCTATGAGTATCTTAAGGACAGACATTCTAGAGAACAACAGTAACTACCAACTCAGTGATTCTACATTTAGTGCATACAGTATTTTAAAGCTAGACTATAATGTAATTTTCATAATATACCAAAGACTTTTACTATACCTCCAATTAGAAGAGGCGATTTGGAAAACTCCTTACCAAAAAACCTTTATAGTGATGTTACTTTATTCTTGAATTCATACCAAATAAAGTATCAGACAAATTCTTTAGAAAAAGAAATCCTTAAGTCTGAAAGCAGATGAAGCTTAGGACATCTAGTATTTAGGCAATGAATGCCTGAGAGATGAGTAAAGTAGAGATGCAATGATAAGCCCTTGGTACCAAGAGCAGAGGAAATACCAGTGAGGACCATTTGCTGACCAGTTACCCAGACCTCATCAGCACTCTACAGCTTGAATGCATAGGTAACTTAACCAGATGAGCATAAAATGGACTTCCACAGGCTTTAAGGCTCAGAACAATGAGGAACAGGAGGTGGAGAGAGGACAAGAGGGTGCACCAGTTGTGATCTTAAGCAGTTAAATTGTTTTAAAACACTTGAAAAGGGGAAAAGCGGGCGCCTGGGTGGCTCAGTTGGTTAAGCGACTGCCTTCGGCTCAGGTCATGATCCTGGAGTCCCGGGATCGAGTCCCGCATTGGGCTCCCTGCTCGGTGGGAGTCTGCTTCTCCCTCTCCCACTCCTCGTTTGTGTTCCCTCTCTTGCTGTGTCTTTCTCTGTCAAATAAATAAATAAAATCTTTAAAAAAAAATAAAAAAGGGGGAAAAGCTGTGTGTTTAAAAATTAGAAGCTTTAACTGTAAATTAGCTTTGCAGTTAAGTGAGTCATTTCCTGATCAGCTCACCATTTACACTGAATCCTGATTTCTGTTCTGAAAGCCAAGGGAATAAAAGGGAGAGCCTGGCAAGTGCTGTCACTGGTTAAACTGCTGCAGGAGGAAAGCAAATCCCAGGAATTAACAGAGAAGGCAGGAGACTTGTGAGGGGATGGGGTAGAACACAGCAGCACTTAGGACTGTTAACATTTTCAAACCACTGTAGGTGTGAGAGTCAAGTTTCTTGGGAATAGAAAATAAAATTGAGATCTAAAGGTAATTTAATGCCATTTGTTTTAGTCAAATAGTAAATTCCTTTTTACTAAACACTATATTATACTTTACCTAATCCTATTAAAAATTTAATAACGTATAGCTGCAATTTAATATAACCTATAGAAAAAAGTATGCAACTTTTGTCCCTAGGCGAAATTAAGACATTTTCATTTTCAGTGTTCCTTGGCCTCTTTGCCTTAGTATTACTACTGGTTTGCTCATCTGGCTCCCCAGTAGATGTGAGTTCCTGCCAAGCAGAGGTTGCTTGTCACAACAGCTGCTCAACAACTCTTGTTATATTTAATTATTCAAGCTAATCCTAACTTAAAGTTTCAACAAAGTACTCTGTTCAGGCACCATGGTTCATCCAAAAATGCTTTGTAAACATATGAAAAATCAGAAAGAAAGGAGTAGTTAATTTATGGCTTGTCTTGCAGAACCACCTGTATTATGTGATAGGAAAGATACAAAACAAAACATGGTGGCGGGACACAGAGAAACCTACACCAAACAGCGCTGACCTTGCTACAGCAAGGTGAGGATGGGGGGCGGGGGGGAGGGGAGTAGCAAGGGAACAGAGAAGAAAATGGTATCATTTAAGAGGAATAGAGAGGACTGAATTGAACAAAAGGCAATTTCTAAAGAATGTCTAAGGGCTGATGAATAGTAAACAGTCACTGTATCTCATCAACCTAAAGAAATAGCATTTAAGGGGCTCTTTTTAAATCCAAATACATATCCCTTGCCCAAACTGGGCTGCTTCCTGAAATGTAATTATACCAGGGGGGAGGGCTGAGGGAGAATAATAAGAGAAAACAGAACAAATCCCATTGTGTGTAATACACAAACCTGTGTCTATCATTTCAAATACCATCTATGTAGAATTCAGTGCTTTGAAGAAGACTAAGCTCTGTGCCACCTGTTTTTTTTTTTAAACAACGACATGGTCAATTTATTGAGTACTTGAATAATCCATGTGAAGTAGGTATTAAGTCCATTTTAGGGAGGAGAAAACTGAGGTTAGGAACGTGTCCAACATCACACAGCTGAGTAACAGAGGTGGGATTTGAATCCAGGCTGTCGGATACCAACAGAAGTGTTCTTAGCAGTTTAGGAAGCCGTTTGACTTTTAATTTTGAATTGTAGCTGATATTTAGTGTATGTATATGTGTGTGTGTGTGTATACACACACACACACGGACTCAATTGTATGTTACAAATGTTCACTGTGAGAAGCATATTACAGTATTGACTGTATTCCCTGTGCTGTACTTCTCATCCTTGTGGCTTCAATTTTGGAATTGAAGTTTGTACCTCATGATCCCCTTCACCCATTTTGCCCCCCCCCCGCAACCTCCTCTCATTTGGCCACCATCGATTTGAGTCCGTTTCTCTTGTCACCATTGTTGTTGTACTGCTGGCTTGTTCCTTGGTTTTTTAGATTCTACATCTAAGTAAAATCATATGGTATTGTTCTTTCTCTGTCTGGCTTATTTCACTTAGCCTTATACCCTTTAGGTCCGTCGATGTTGTTGTGAACGACAAGATTTCATTCTTTTTTATGGCTGAGTAACATTCCTGTGTATATACCACATTTTTATCCATTCTTCTATAGACACTTGGGTTGCCTCCATAGCTTGACTATTATAAATAATGCTGCAGTAAACACAGGGGTGTCTCTGTCTTTTCAAATCAATGTTTTCCTTATCTTCTGGTAAATATCCAGAAGTGGAATTACTGTATCATGTAGTACTTGTATTTTTAGTTTTTTGAGGAAACTCCATACTGCTGTCCATAATGCACCAGCCTGCATTCCACCCCCCCTGCATGAGGGTCCCTTTTTTTCGATATCCTTGTCAACACTTAATTTGTGTTTTTGATACCAGATAATTCTGACTGATGTGAGGTGATACCATGATTTTGATTTGCATTTCCACTAATGTGATGTTGAGCATCTTTTCATCTGTCTGTTGGCCATCTGTAGGTCTTTTTTGGGAAAATGTGTATGGCGGGGATGTGTTTTTTTGGTGTTGAACTGTATGAGTTCTTTATATATTTTGGATACTACTCCCTTATCAGATATATCATTTGCAAATACCTTCTCTCATTCAGTGCTTGCCTTTTTGTTTTGCTGGTTTCCTTTGCTGTGCAAAAACT